CCTTCTGACACCACGATGTCTTTATGAAGGCCTGTGCTGCCTTTTTCTCTTCAAGGCTTTCAAAGCTTTGATGGTCATATATCTCCATACTCCATACCGTTGTGCTCAAAACTTTGATATTGTAAAGTTGAAGTGACCTTTCTGTCTTGTTAAATTATTACGCATATATACTTATAGCTTTTTTGGCAGAATTTCTCACGCAGTTTCTAAAAAGAAAAAACGTGCATCCACACCTTGGTTTGTCTTCTTTACTCAATTAGACCACTTTTTCACTCATCGTTCAGATTTTTTCAACACTTTAGCAATTTCTTTGACTGAATGGCCAGAAGACCGTCAAAATAGATGCTTGGGCTGTTGCACAAACAGTGTAGGTCTTCAGTTTAGTGAAAGAGTAGAGAAAATAAAAGAAAAAGGTAAAAAAGGAAAACGAAAATAGAAAACCAACAAAATAAGCAGGAAAATATGGCGGGAAAAACCACGCGTACCTGAACATTTAGGGCAAAGATTAAAAAATATTATGATTTCTTCAAATTTTAGTATAAAATTGCTTTGAACGGTTATTTAGATAAAATTATTACCTGAATCAGTTTACATTTGCCTAAAGAAGCATGAATGCTTTACGCAAAATAGAATTTGTAATCGGAGGGAACTTTTGAAAAACCCCGTAAGTAGTGTTATCATTCGAAGTAAAGGATATTTTAGTTGAGGATGAAAAGTATTCTTATTCAGTCATGGTTAATCATGAACTCAAGACGACAAAGGCATGAATAACGATTTGTTCGGCAAAGACACTACATGCATATTTAGCTTCATTAGACTACATGCTCTGTCAGCCAAGCGGTTGTAGGTAGGCTTAGCCACAAGTTGCTCGGCAACTTTTCGGCAACTTTTGAGATTTTCGGCAACTTTTTAGAATTTTGGCAACTTTTAGAATTTTCGGCAACTTTGGGCTTTTTGAGGTTCTTTGAAGCCACTTTCTTCACGTTTTACCCCCCCCCCCCCCATGGGTTGATTTTTGTGATGCCTTATCACGAGGTCAGCGGTATCACGTTGCACGTTTTTCAAGATGGCGGACAATTACCATGTTTTGTTCATGTCATTCTGATAGAATATTTGTTGATCAGGTGAAATGGAAAGAACCTCTGATATTATCATTGGACTTTGACAAATAAAGTTTTGACAAGAAGCAATGTGCGAATTTTTAATCTTTAACACCAAAAAAGGTACGAAAAGCAGAAAAATTTTGGCAACTTTTAGACACTTCAATCGGCAACTTTTTTGGGATTCATCGGCAACTTGTGGCTAAGCCTAGTTGTAGGCGGCTCCTGATCGACATAATAGTCCGGCAGCAAATGTCATGAAATAAAGTCCAGTGGGAATTTTGTGAAGAAAGCAAGCCACTAGTCTAAATGTGTTAAGGGGACCCTTAATAACATGGAAAGTTTTTGTGGCAACTTTGTAACTTGCTCAGACTGGATTTATATGGGGTCGAAAATGTGATGTGTATATCCCAGCATGGAAACGAGGCTCAAACATAAAATTGTCCACAGTTTTCCATTATTTCCGTAAAACTTTATCAAAATCACCACATTTGTGCAAATCAATGTTTCCAATATGAACATATGATTTTAAGAGTTTATTGGGTCCACGTGACCAAGTATACACTAAGACGAACCCTAACCTCATTCTGCGCTTTGCATGGTAGGTTCCCCAATCCTGAGGCTCTTGAACACTTCGGCACTGAAGTGATCTCTAGGACTCATATGGTATTTCAACTGTTCTTCCCGGCACATTAGCTACGATGTTTCATCTTGACCTTCTTTACTGAAGCGTACGTTTTTTTTCTTGGCCTCAAATGTCGAAGAAAAGAAGTGTTCATGTTGCGTTTTATTTCAAATCCAAAATCCAGATTTCAAAATTTAAATCCGGAATTTCCAATCGAAATCACCCAACCGGCCATTGCACTCACAGTTCCGGGATGTCTACATACCGCAGCTTTCAGTTTTAGAGCCTCTTCTCAGAGCTGTGCGCGTTGAATTTCTCTACTTTCCTTAAAATTGGGACAAACGGTATTCTACTCAAACTTCAAGGTATATCGATTTGAACTGTTTCGCCAAGTCTCAAGCGTTCTCAGAATTTATAGGCACTGCAATGGGTCTCCTTCCTGCTTTCAAGATGGTTCCCGTAAATGATTTGATCTCATTCCGTTTAGCCGATCGCGAGGGAAAACACGATAATCATGTGAGCTCGACTCAGAGGAAATATAAGTAGTGTCACCAATCGAAGTCAGGAATATTGTAATTGAGGATGAAAAGTATTCTTCTTTAGTCATGGTTAATCATGAGCTCAAGCGGACATAGTGAAGAGGTTCGACAAATGCAAGAATATTAATTTGCTTCCTTAATTGTTCGGTAAACACACTGCATTTACCTTCATTAGACTGCATGTTTGGCTGTGAGCCACGCGGTTGTAGGCTGACACTAACCAAGAAGATTCTTTGGACATGTTTTAATTCGAGTAGCGCTTGTTCGTCGTCTGAACTCAATCTCAATGCACATGAAGGACACCAATTCGAGACGAAACGGCGAAAGTCGTTATGCTTAAATTACCTTGCTGTCGAAATTTTAGAATGAATATGCTAAATAAATACTAGTTTTATTGGCTTGCGCAATTACTGGTAGACACAGTGCATCTAGAAGAAAGAGGTGTCTTGCTTTATATAATTGTTATTATTATTTGTTCAACTTCTTGCTGACACTAGAGACCAAGTTTCCGCTGTAGCAGCGACGACATTTTTGTCCTACAATAATGAGTAAACGAGTTAAACCTACTACGTCAAATAAATATTCAGGGGCACCCAACGACAATTTTCGGAAAATATCTGTTCGGAAGACGATTTGATATCTAGAATTTTCGGAACATTTTTCGTAAAATTTCTTGCTTGCCTGCCTCTCTTTGGATTTTCCAGCATCTAAAAAATGGTATAATTGCCTATTTTTTAAGAATTTGTTCATGCTTAGCGTGCGTATATCGAGTTATGGATGCACGCGGGAAGTTTGGAGAGCACGAAAGATGCGTAAGAGTTGCACGAGGCGATAGACGAGTGCAACTCTAGCTTCTTGAGTGCTCTCCAAATTTCCCAAGTGCTTCCATAACTCGATATACGCACAGCTAAAAGCATGAGCAAATTCTTTTATAACATAGCTGACAAAAATGCTTGCTTTTTGATTAACTGCAAAATTCTCGTAACGCGCGACACAATAACAAACGGTTCTATTGGCTGATTACGAACACGCCACAATCGTCTAGTTTGAATGAAAATATTCTTTCTGTAAAAGTGAGAAAGAAAATTTGCTTCTTTATTCGTTAACGATCAATGGAAACTAAGCAGAAACAAAGGTAAAAGAGTCTTAAAGTTCACCTAAAGTTAAAATACTAACATGTTCGTAAGAAGTCGTGGAGTATGGTTTGGATTTGCTGAAAAGATGTTTACGTTTTGCTCGGCGAAATCCAGAAAACATGTTTTTAGCGAAGACGACTGTCATCCTTCTTTAAACTTATATTCATTTACGAACATTGGCTGGTCATTACGGCTTCTTGAGAAGACCTGGCAGCAGTTGTTTTTGTGAGTAATAAATTTATGTCTTCTTGTGTAATTTGTGTTGTTATTGCGAGAGAAATTTTCCTGCTTCAGTCGGATTGTCCGGAGATAACAAAGTGCATAACAAATTTAAAAACAACAATAAAAACGGAAATTTTGCCTTTAAATGTTGTTGATGACCAGTTGGTGTCTGTTCTGTTCCCAGTGAATGTCTTTCGGCCAAAATTTGCTGCAGCTGGTCTTCGACAAATTTGCGAAACGCGCAACTTGCGAGTTTTTTTTTAAATTCGGCTTTATTTTTGCTGCTTGTTGGATCAAGACCTAAAAGGTCAATGCCGATAGAAAAATTGGGCAGTTCTTCGCTGGTTTCTTCCATATTTTAAAGAGAAGGAAAAGTGCACTGCAGCTTAAAAGACGACAACTTTGCAGCCAAGTAAAAAGAAATGCTCACGTCATCTCATTTACGCACGGGCGTGCGTAAATAAAGATTTTGTTCATAGCGGCTCAATAGGACTTATATAGGGCAAGCACGCGCGCTATGTTATATTAACGGGTTTTTACCCTGAAAAGGTCACCTAGAATTTTCGGGAGCCTTTTTTCTGGCTGGAATTTTCGAACAGGTAAGTTTTATTCGGATCACTAGACTTTCAGCTAGGAAATCCGAACAGATGCAAAATTTTTAGGGGATAAAAATATGCCTATATCTACCGTTTAAATACTAAAATACGTTTAACAATGCTATGTTTAAGTGGTTTTGAACTATATTCTCGTTGGGTGCCCCTGAATATTACCAACTTCCGTCTCGAGGTCAAAAGCAATTATCATGAAAGGAATGTAACTGCCATTCAGCTCTGCTCAACAGAAAATCCGCTAAATATGCATGACCCTGTCCATTTAATCGTGATTTTGTGTTTAAACATGTTTTGTTTCATTTGTTATGCTTATGATTAATACAGTCAGCGTTTGAAAAAGGATGTTTTAATGGTAAAGGGTACGAAAACAGGAATAGAGTGGGAAAAAGGAGTATGAATGGGGAATGGGAATGGGAATGGGAGATTGAAAAATGGGAAATAGTAGTCAGCGTTCATACTGTATTAAAAATCCGTTAATTTTGATAACACCACATGACGGTCAACGGCGTAAAGAGGTTTGAATGCTATTTTCTTTTTTATTTTATAAATTTGTTTTAGCACCAGTCTTTTTTCTACACTGGATGTCAAAAAAACATTTTAAGCAATGGTGAAGGGTGAGATTCCGCGTCGGTCACCCATTCGCCCAGTATCAAGGTATCAAAGTGGACTTGCTTCCACTGCTCTCTGCCACAATTTTATTTAGTGTTTAATAGTTTATCGTTAGTCGTTAACGTTAATCGTTAGTGATCAGATTATGAGCGAAAACAGTACAAGGTTCTAAAACATTGTTTTTTCCTAGCAGCACCATGTCTAAATTTGCTGGCTCGGCAATTGCTCAGGGGCAATATGTTGGTCGAATCGATTGTTGGTCACAGTGGAGACCGACAAGTGAGGAGCCGCTCTGGTTACTACTCTCAGGAGCTACTAATCCGCCAAAAGAAATTGGAATTTCTAAGAGAAGAACTCGAGATGCACAGGGAGATAGGAATGGCGTATTTCTTGCTGGTGTGGCTCGAGATTTGGTCAACATGGAAGATGTAGTTGGAGCAAAGCTGTTCAACACTGTTAAAGATCTTTATCTAACTAAGGACGCAGCTCTCCAACATATCACCAGGGTCTTTGAAAGATGCAAAGACTCAAAGGCCAAACCTATGTTGTACTATACAGGGCATGGTGAAATTGGTACTGGAAACTGGTGCTTTGCGGATGGGACAATCAGTATCCAAGAGATTTTTGACATGTTGCCTGGAGGCTGTTATTACCCAATGATCTTCAGTGATGCCTGTTACAGTGGCCACTGGGCAAATTTCTGTCTGGAGAAAGGTATTTCTGGTTTCCACTGCCTAGCAGCATGTCCGGAGTATTCGACGGCTTTTGATACCAAAGGTGTGTATGTTTTACATTCTTTAATTAATCTGAAATCAAAACTATTATGTTTACATTACAGCGGTGTACAATTAGAAGGAGGGTATTGTGCAAAAGCTGTTTCGATATAAGATACGAGCTGTGCGCGCTACGCACTACGCACTACGCACTACACTGTACTATGCGCGCTTCGTTATTATTTTTAAGAAAGCCGTGGAGTTTGCGAGGGCATTATCCAATTTAGTGCAACTTTCCGTTGTTTTAGAACCAGCAGTTAATTGGCTGCGGCCGCATCAGGGGAATTAATTGACCCAGTTGTTTTTGTATTGAATAATTAACAATTATTCTTTGAAATCGAGTTAAATATTTCCAAAGCCACTATTTAACGAGATTGAAAAGAATAACTATTTTTTTTTAGTCAATAAACACGAAGTGATCTCGACAAAATCAGAAAGTATTCAAACAATTAAAAAGTACAACGGATCAAGTCATGCGTGAAAATTTTGCAAGTAACTAATTAAAATACATGCCCGAAAGTTAGATCTTTGCAGAATATTCAAACATGGCAATTCGCAAGTTTATCACTTCGCAGACAACAGCATAATGGCTTAAATGGAACCGTTAAAAGTTTGAACTGTTTTCTTACCCGAGAAGAAAAGTATTGTTTTGTTATTTTCTGTTAACTCGCCAAGTTTAAAAGAGGTTTGTTGCTTCTGACGACACTGCGGCGGTTAGGTTGCTCGAGGTAAGGCGTCGTTTTCCTGTAGCATTTTTTGTCCTATCCACTTGAAACGTAGAATTTGTGCAAAAATTTGCTGTTATTTGTTTTGTCATAAATAAAGTTTGATTTTCGGGCCTTTTTTTTTCTTGTCTGAAAACGCTGAGTTCATGAAACGGCCCCTTTGACTCGAATAAACGCGAGAGTTTAAGGTGACTCGACCCAGTTTTTTTCGGGGGGTACCATCCTACTTTGAAGCTCTCTGGTATCCCCACCTTTACTTTTATCGTAAGTCTAACACATAGAATGGATAACATATAGATCAATCTACAATATAACATAAAATTTTTGGCGATCGGAGTAAATGTCACGTGGTTATAATGCCACGCCCCTTTGAGGTCTGAGTCGAAAATCTGCTGTTGCCGGCATTTTTTCGTAAAAATCTCTCGGCTACACATAGTGCGCATTAGTGCCTTGCGCTGAACAGAGTTTCACCAAAATCGCAAAGACCCAATTCGAGAAATTCAGCGGTTTCCAAATTTAGGTCATAATTTATGCGAAAATGATAAGCAAACTTTACACGGATTATATCTAATAAACTATGAGATTCATCTCTTTATTTTGGGCATCGTTATAACAGATGGGTCCTTGCAAGTCAGCAAAACGCTTTAGGGCCTTGTAAATGCGCGCGATTTCGAGCAAAGCAAACATATAGAAATTATAGTTTTCGCTATTTGTTGACGTTTGTCAGCGTTTAAGAGTCCTTCTCACGAAAAAAGCATTTTCTTAAAAATTCGTAGTTTTTTTTCCTTCAAATTTTTTCAGGGCCACAATTGATTAACTAACTACCCGGACTCTGAATTTCATGGTCATTGAAAAACTGTGACATTATCTTCTATAAGCCCAAACTTGAGTAAACATTGAAGATTTTTAGCGTTTTGGCTGAGTTTGTGCTTTGGGAGTTGTCTATTGTTTCTAGTCTGTCATTATACAGCATTCTTGTTCAGCACGCGTGCAATGACCACGCTTGGCTGACTTCCGAATGCTCACCGAGATATTCCCGTCACGAGTTGGTTTAATTATTGGCTTGCATTAAACCTATGAAAAAATGATATTTTTTTAATAGTAAGTAGATTTAGTGTGTAGCACTTCTTGATTTTTTTGCAAAGGCACAAGAAGCACGAGAATTGATTAAAAATTGTGACTTAAACCTCTATGTATCACGCGATGGCCTGTCTCACTGTACCAAAATTATTATATCTCGGTGAGCATTCGGAAGTCAGCCAAGCGCGGTCATTGCACGCGTGCTGAACAAGAATGCTGTATAATGACAGACTAGAAACAATAGACAACTCCCAAAGCACAAACTCAGCCAAAACGCTAAAAATCTTCAATGTTTACTCAAGTTTGGGCTTATAGAAGATAATGTCACAGTTTTTCAATGACCATGAAATTCAGAGTCCGGGTAGTTAGTTAATCAATTGTGGCCCTGAAAAAATTTGAAGGAAAAAAAACTACGAATTTTTAAGAAAATGCTTTTTTCGTGAGAAGGACTCTTAAACGCTGACAAACGTCAACAAATAGCGAAAACTATAATTTCTATATGTTTGCTTTGCTCGAAATCGCGCGCATTTACAAGGCCCTAAAGCGTTTTGCTGACTTGCAAGGACCCATCTGTTATAACGATGCCCAAAATAAAGAGATGAATCTCATAGTTTATTAGATATAATCCGTGTAAAGTTTGCTTATCATTTTCGCATAAATTATGACCTAAATTTGGAAACCGCTGAATTTCTCGAATTGGGTCTTTGCGATTTTGGTGAAACTCTGTTCAGCGCAAGGCACTAATGCGCACTATGTGTAGCCGAGAGATTTTCACGAAAAAATGCCGGCAACAGCAGATTTTCGACTCAGACCTCAAAGGGGCGTGGCATTATAACCACGTGACATTTACTCCGATCGCCAAAAATTTTATGTTATATTGTAGATTGATCTATATGTTATCCATTCTATGTGTTAGACTTACGATAAAAGTAAAGGTGGGGATACCAGAGAGCTTCAAAGTAGGATGGTACCCCCCCAAAAAAACTGGGTCGAGTCACCTTAATAGACATTCCATCGAGTAAAAAATTCAGCTATAACAGTAAATGGAAAAATCTCATTTTGAATCCTTCGAAGTCTTTTCTTACCTTAAAAAAAGTCAACCCAAGGATTTCGTGGACTTTTGAAAGATCGTTTTCTCGAAACAAAAATTGGAAAAGCGCCAAGCTCACCCATTATCCACTCGCACGGAGGTGAATATAGTCCGCGATAGCGAACCAATCAGATTGCTTAAATCACCAATATCACTGAGTGTGTGTATATACCAACGAACGATGTTGTTTTTTAACCCTAGTAATAGTAGAATATATGAAAAGAAAGCCCAATATAACGAAACCTCGTTATAGCGAACAAATTTTGCCAGTATCTTGGCCCTTTGTTATACGACGTTCCACAGTATAAAGAGGTTTCGTTATTTCGAGGTTTGACTCAGTGGTGAAGAAAATCGTTCTTAAATATACCAATGACTTCGTTGAATAGGGGATCGTTATATCAGGGTTCCATTCTACTGACATTTCTGTTCAAATTAATTGGTAGATGAAGGAGGGGATCTAACGTTATACATGACTGGAAAGAAATTACGCCCAAGAACAGAACCCATGTATAGCGGAGGAAATATATGTGACTTCGACATCACCAGTGGATATGATACAGTTGATTACAGTGATTTTATCTTTAGCCATATTTTTAATAGTCAAGACATTTTGATTTCCCAGAGCGTGCAAAATGGCTTCTTCTCAGGAATTTTTGCGAGTTCAAAACTTTACAAGCCAAGACCTATGATAACTTTGCAAATTGGTAGAAACTACAACGACTTTCTTGTGTTCGCTAAAGAAGAATGCCAATTGGTTAATGGTAAGTCAAAGAGCATCTACTCCCTTGCCTGTGATGAGAAGTTTGGGTTCGGAGTCTTCTTTATGGAAGGCTACGGCACGAAACAAGCCATTATAGATTGCACGGATGATATAGAGGAACGATGGGATGACGGTCTTAAAATAACTTCATGTGCTGCCCTAAATTCATCATTTTACATCATCATGACAAAAGGCACCAAGGAATACCATGGAAAACTGCAGATATGGTTTACTCGTAATTCATGGAAAGGAGCGAATGATGCAATACAGGAGGGATACCGGGAAGGAAAAGCTATCACTGGAATATGTTATTCCAGAGGGCTGAAGCTGTATTTTGTTGTGATGACAGCCTCAATGGGGAGACAGTGCTCCAGGTGGTTCGACAGGACTGAAGAAGAAGCCATGAACGATTGGGAACAAAAGAAACATGATGAGGGATTCCATCCTACTATCATCTTCAATGATCCAACTGACAACAAAACTTTAATTGTGATGACTGAGGATAAAAATAGATCGGGTTATGTAAGTCGGGCTGGCTATAAATTAAGGTATTAGATTCTTTTAGTTTAATCCAGTTGAATGAAATTGCATTCAAAAGAAAAAGATTTTTCTTATTTATTTCATTCAGATTTGATTTCAATGATGAATCCGATAGTTTCTGTCTGAAAAAGCATAATTGTTTCCTATGAAAGCTAATCTTGAAAATAAACAAGACAGAGTGCTCGGTCTTTTATATCATTTGTGCCCGGCATGCCGAAGAAGGTTTGTTTTTCAAAATGAATGTATATGGGACAAAAAACAAAGTTTGTTTGTTTTAGGTTATAGTTTTTCTTTTTGGTCTTCGTCGTGAGGATCTAAGTTTGCTCTGTTTTGGTTTTTACTGATCCGGATCCAGATTATAGAAATCCAGCTTCTCGTTTGGTGCGGCCACTGAACTCATTGGTTTGTTTTGGAGGCTTTCCTGTACTGTTTAAATGTCGACATTTGGACACACGGTTTCCACAGAAAGATTGCTCCTGCAAAAATACAGAGTTTGTATGGGAGTTGAAGAAAACAAGGATTTGTGAAGGGGTCCTTAAGTAGAGCTGTCCGCTTACGAAAGTATCCATTAGGAGTGCATCCACTGTACTACATTAGGCCATGTAAATACCAACCCTTCCCCATGTACATCTACTACGGCAGGGGAATGGATAAGCGAACTAACGGGGTTTTTTTAGTACTTCCTGCCTTATTATGGCAGGTGTGAATAATTGTACACATAACTTTAATTTGTTTCTGTTTATTGATACAATTCAGGGTTTTTCTTGAGCGTGTATCCGAGGTCTTTTATAGATTTCGAGTAAGTGTTACTGAACATTTTGCACGTTTCTGTCAAAAATGATAAAAATAGCAATTTCAAGGAACCAACATATTGTTGGCAAAGTTTGTCGACGACGATATGTGTGAACGTTGGTTTGAGAGTGATTCAAGAGTTATTCTGATTGAAAGCTTGTAAAATTGACCAGATTTAACAAGCATCCCCGGAGGTCTGTTCAATTAAACTTTTACAAGTGTAGCCGGATATTACCTATTTAATAGTATTTTCCAACAGACTACAGGTATTTCCAAATAATCAATCCAGATTTAAGCCGTATACATTGCTGTAACATTGTTAGGATTTGAGTGTGTTCAATTTACTAACACTGCGTTTGTAATATACATAAATATACTCTTTTTATGTATGATCAGGTAGCGTTCAATTTTGGAAATAAATATTTGAAATTTGGTAATAGCTAGTTTAATTTTTCCGCAAACCGTCGTTTTCTACTATACCAGTGCGACTACTCGAACCGGGGCAAATGGAGCAAGATTATGCAATCACAACGTTTTTTGAAAACAAAAGGTGCTCAATTTTTTTTTTGGAAACGGACCAATAAGATTCAAGATTCAGCTCCGCAACCGTTGAAAACTTTAAAAGTGTTGGACTTATCTGACCTCTCAGGAAACGGCCCTCAAATTCATGAGAGTCATTCAGGTCGGTTTTTTTAAAAAAAAACCTGAGCATCTTTAGTTTTAAAAAACTAGTGATTGGATAATCTTCTTCCAAGTGCCCCGATTCGAGTAGTTGTACCGTAAATGAACTCTATATATCATAATAATTTGCTGTTTTAGGTCAGTGCTCTGTCGAGGTTATTATTTTAGTGCCTTTATCCATAAACAAAATCGTCCTGTATAGTTAGGAAGAAGAATAAATGTCAAACGAAATTCTTCTATGGAGCACAAGAGAACAGTTAAACCATAACTTCTCCAACGTCTAACTACGAACAGCCTGGTTTGGAATAAGACTCGTTCAACGACTGGCATAAGAATTTGTCGGGGTGGATAGTCAAAAGAGCCTTCAAAAGTGCTCTGTCTTTAAGTTAAACTTGTGCCTCCAAAACGTCTTCGAGGTTAGTTTAGGCGCGGAAAAACGGGCAACAAAAACTTCCAACTTGTTTTGCAAAATTTCTGCACAAAAACGAGTGGAATGGCTATGTTGCACTTTTTATCACCCAAGAATCAAACCTGTCTTGCATCATATCAGGTTGCTGCAGGTTGCGAAAAGTTGTTGCTCGTTTTACCGGCCCAAGACATTAATTGTTTTGCAGCAAGGGAAGTTACTCCTGTGCATTACGCGACTCCCTCGTAATCTTATCCAATCAGAATTCAGTCTTCTCATTCTGGCCAGCACAACTCGTTTTGCAGTAATGTTTCAAAACGGTCTGCACTTTTTAACGTGAGCTTTATTTCAACTTTGACCAAAGCTATTTTTAATTTTGCCTTCGATCTCTTATTGTAGTCATGGGTAATTCCACTCGCATGACAAAAATGTTCATTCATTTTAATTTAGCTTTACACAGGGTTGGCCGGGGGAGGGGGGTAATGGAATACCAAAATACCCGAAATAAACCTTCCAATATACCAAAAATTACAGTACAATTCGTGTAAAATACCAAGATTAAGAAAAACACAGTATACGTTATACCCAAAATTGGTCGTAAGGCAATACTTTATACCTAATTTTAAGCATAAAAATACTGTTTTCCTGAAATTAAATACGCAAATACACTGTGTACCCAAAAACCGTGGCCGACCCTGTTTACAACCGATGATGAGCTCTCCTGTAGGAAGCATAAGGAGAAACTGAATTTATTTTGATAGTTTATTTTTCTCAAACTCACAAAACTCCCAACACACGCACCATCTTAGCTGAAGATTTTTGTGAGGATCAAAGTTATTTACCGATCATGTACGGTCAATCGTAACTTCAAGCAGGCGGTTAAGAATGTAAACAAGTTTGAGGAAATTTCATTGCTCAAAAAAGGATTTAAAAAACTCGTGGAAAGAAGTGAAGACTGATTCCTTTCAGTTTCAGTACTATGCGCGGAAAAGGATCGCCAAGTTTGAATTAAATAGAATTCTCCTGCTAGATATCCTGTCTAAGCATTGTCTTGACATCGATCTTCGATTATCTGTTCAACTCATCGGCAAGGCAATAAAATCAGCGGTAACTGAGTCACAGTTGTAACCATAGTAACAATACTTTTGTGCATAACTGTATATTACGCAATAGTACCATATATTTGTAATACTTTAGTCATCGATGAGAAAATAAGGGTGGAAAGAATGGGGTAAAAATTCTGATAAATGTTTACAAACAAAACAAATAGGCAGGGACTTTTCCCTTTCACTGTCCCTGAAAGCCCCCCTCACGGAAGGCGTAAGTACTATTGATAAATGCAATTTTTGATTAGATGCAAATTGAATTTTGCTATCTAAGAAGTTACAGTTCAAAGCTTTCGGTGATATTATTAGAAGTGAACTCACTGTTGTGTGAAAGAGTTACCACAACACTATATAGTGCGACAATATAATTTTGATCACAACCAGTTACGCACTGTTTTCGTTCTTGAATGCTAAATTAATGACATTATTTGCACCTTTCTTCTTATACTAACACCATATTTAAAGAAAAGAACATACTAAACCTCAGTGCGTGACAAAATTATAATTTTGCTGACGCATCATATGCCCATGTTCATTAATTTTAGTCTCCATTTTCCTGATTTTTTATTATTAAAAGCTCATTGACATATCACTACTCAAATTGCAAGAGTGAGATAGACACTGAGCTGGAGCTAATGAACGTTAAGGAAACTGCTGATTGGTACCCTAAATAATGTAAGTTTTATGCATGACATCATTTGTACGACTTTGCATTCTTGTTTTATTTTTCTTCATTAAATAAAAAGTCATGGTTCAGCACCGCATGATTGCTAGCGGGTAATGCGGTTAGTGTTTCAAATCACTTTTTCAACAACTTTTTAAATTACTGTATAGCAAATTTCAAAAACTGTGGATTCGGGATTTCACCAAAATGAGATGCGGGATTCGGCAAAACGCATGCATCCTTTCTTTTTTTGTAGTAGCCGCAGTTAAGGGTCCTAATGCAAAGACATTGCTGTTTCCGGTAAAGCCAGCATTGATGCTATCTACAGGGGTAACTCTATGAATAATTCGTTTCGACTCAACCGAAAATTTGTCCCGCGACCTCGATAGTCAAGGTTCCTAAGAGCTGACGTGCGCTCTGCGGACGTTGATGATGATTTTTTGGCCAAAAAAAAAAAAAACAATAAACTAAAGATACGCGTCGAAAGTACGATTTTAAAATGACACCAGGCAAACTGAGAGTTTATGAAAATTTGCGAAGTTTGGTGGTCATGGCCTGAAGTTATTCAACTTTTTAGTGAGGGGGAAGGGTACTCGAAAGCCCCCGAGACTAACGCACTAGGGGCTGAAACTGTATAACGTACATGGTTAGCACTAATCGCTCGTTTCTCGTAACCCACTGAAACAGCCAAACGCCCAAAACACTTCAGTCAAAAAATGAACACCGCAACAAGTACACACAAACTATTTTCTTGCCAACAATGAACGTGGACATGCCATTTGCACAGTGCTGTCGATTGACTACAACTACCAGAACCATTCGCAGTTCAGTTTTCTTGTGCAAATTACGTTAAGCTATCGAAGCAAGCCCCACTGGGATTACTAAGCTAAGTAAGCATGAATTAAATTAGGCATTTTTATTATTATTATTACTTTTTTTTATTTTTATTTTTTTTCTCTTTTTAATGAATCAAATTTAGATTCCGTATCGCTTCGAAATTTTTTGAATCTTGAATTTACACGCTAACAGGTGCCAAGTGACCGCTTGCGTGGCCCTTCGCGACTGAGCGTAATGAATCCAATGAGCAGCTATGAAAACCGATGGTGCATTGTGACGTAACGAAGCCAAGAATATACTGTGCTGTGCTGCACTGTGCTCTTACAGTACTTTGCATGCACGAATTGAAGTGATTGAATTGAAGTTTTTGAAATAAAGATTTTTCTTGCTCATATTACGTCGAGAGCATCATTGTAACGCATTGGCACCGGCACATGACATCCGTTGTTTAAAAGTCCCCCGCTTTCCAAGAAATATACAATTTCGCATGATTCCTTGAATTGTTTCAAAGGACTGTTGACCCATTTCT